TGTGTGTGTGTGTACGCACGACGAATGTATGCCTGCAGGTATGTATAACCCGTGCATGCACATGTGTCTAAACATGGAGTTTCGTATGAATGCTTGTACACATATGTTGTACACGTTCGCATGCTGTTAAACAGACGTCTGCATGCACCGTATACGTACACACATGCATCTGGACATGCATGCTAGGCACATGGGGATGCGCACGATGCATGCATAGCTATACAAACGCAAACCAAAGTCTTATTTCTATCCAGGGTCTAGAAGGAGAAAGTGAAAACTATGCACCCAGCAGTGTATCTTGCTTTTTCTCGTGCTTGGGTACATTGCCCTGTCTCTGCCTACGTCATGAAACTTTGTTGCTGCATGCACGGACGGCTGGCTTTCTGGGGCCGCAGCCTTACGCAGTAGCCGCTTCGCCCCGTGAGGCCGTAGAGGAGATCTCCTCAGGTATCGGACAATTACCTCCAAGCAGGCCTCAATGATGCCGGAAGCTGTTGCTAATGATGGCACGGCGATGATACCGCGGATGCTTAAGATGTTGGTGACTTGGTGACAATCACGATTGCGAGTCCTACTGCACTCTGGTCCCAAGCTCTCGCTCCTCACTCTCACTTGCTGCTGCCGCTACTACGACGGCGGTGCTTCATAGTTCATGCTAGTTCTGACAGGCATCATCCTGACTGTTTGGTACACCTGACGATTGTGGCCGGCAGTGATCATGGGCTCGACACCACGCAAACACCGCACTCGTCACCGCAAGAAGTCCGCTCTGGATTCTGATTCGCATGGCATCTACAATTAACCCCGGAACCAGTCTCGAGTGCTCATTTCTCCAGATGCCTTAGCACGCTCATCGAGAGCAACCGTTGGTGAAACGGCCAGCCCAAGCAGGTGTAGGAGGGAACTTCGCATCCGGTGTTATCAACCCCAAATGTTCAGGATGTATGCCAGGAACCGTAAATTCACAAACCTCCGACGGGAAACTGGAGGGTCAAGCTGTGCGTTGGAAGCTTGGGGCCTATAGAGGGGTAGAAAGTCGAAACCCCGAAACCCAGAATCTTGCGCACAAGGCGTGTTCAACCAGCTCTTTCGTCTTCGAAGTCTCGCAGTTGTCTACGTGGTTTCACCTCGTTCTGGTTCCCGGCACTTGAGGATCACCCTTGAAAACTGGAGACTTTGCAAGGCCTCCAAAGCCTACGTCGGGTTCCGAAAAGGACCAGATTATTGCTTAACGGCCCCAGACTCTTAAACCGAGTAAACTCACATGGACCCTGAGCCCCAAGAAAACCCTACACAAACCCTACACCCTTGGGGTATGTGACAGGCTCCGGACATCCGCTTGAGCAAAAGCTTTTGCCAGGAGGCCACTTCTAAGAGTCAAGACAAAGTTCTGATATGGTGTAATGTAATACAACAGAACAGAACACAGAACATAGAATATAATCAGAATGACGAAAAATGATTGAACATAGTCGGTTATAAAAGACCACAAGAAAGGAACATAATGGAACAATATAGAACTAGGTTAGGTTAGAATAGCATAGAATAGAACGTATCAGATAGTCTATGCAATTTGGAACAGAAATGCCTTATGCAGTAAATAACTCATGATATTTTCCAGCTAATGTAAACTGCATATGATGAGCCATGTCATGTATAGTGGCTAATATAGAGTATAAACTAAAACAAGAAGTAGAATATGAAATAGTATAATAAGGAATAAACGGAGTATAATAAGATAAAATCCAATAGAATAGAATGTAATATAACATAGTAGAATAGAATGGAATGTATGACATACACTATTTAACATACAACGTATAATACAGAAAAAATACATACATGTATATAATGTGTATATATATATATATGTGTGTGTGTGTGTATATATACATATATATATATATATTAGCCTAAACAACAAATAGCATATAGTCTAAAACATATGATACAACACGAGAACATAATACATATAAATTGCAACATCTAATTTATAATGCTCCGTAAACGATATGTATCATAACCTATGTGTCAAAAATGTTTTATACATAATATAGAACGAAAGATATGTAACATAAAGCAAGTGATCTGTGTATATACATATATAATGCACATATGTGTGCATGTATCTTGTAATATAACAAACTGAGAAATGACCAAATGTTACAGAAAGGTACGCTGTGGGGGCCCGTGTTTCTCGTGGGTCCTGGTTCTCTCTGTTCTAGGTAATGAGATTCACTACTTGCTTTAACTCATAAAGTTCCACACTCCAGAAAGGTTAATGGCCACTACAGCATTATCAATGTAGACAGTTTGCCTTCTTGTGCATTGTGCGGGTTACATCCTTACATGCGAATGACCACATGAACTTGAAACTCGTCCTGATTCCCGCTTCATTTCCGTGCAAGCAGCACGCTTTGGGGCAGGCCTCCCTCGGTAAAAAGAGCTCCAGTTGCAGACGTGAGTCAGTCGAGTCAGTGTACTTACAAGAAATAGCCGAAATGGGTCGCCCACACCCCTAGAGCCGGTAGGGCTTAAGGACTCAATGGGGTTTAGAGACATCGCTACTCAAGAGATGTTAGGACTCCAAGGTTATGGAGACTACCCCAACAGCAACTTCTGAGGTGTTCGATTCGACGCCATGGTCTGTGCTATCGTTTGGAGCCTCTCTGGAAAGCCTAGCTGTGAAATACCATTCATTTTAGCTCATCCCGGCAGCATAGACTTCAAGCCCAGATATCTGCAGTATATCTCAGAAAGCCCTAGCTGCTTCACCCATGTCTGCAGTTGGATGGCAAAGGACCAGGTCCGCTCACCAGTCTGGAGAATCTAATGAAAGAGGCCATCCTTTGGCCGTCAACTCCGCGGCGTCTCGATCCAGAACCTCACGGAACATGGCGGCGTAGTCCGCAAGCTATTCAGTCGCCCCCTGATAAGGGGAGGTTTGGATACCGCTAACGAAGCCGGACGTCTGCTAGACAAGGCATGTGGCTTCCCACCTACCCAAATGGGCCTATGCGTATGTTTCCTGGGGCTTTTAGAGGATCTGCAAGAATGACTGGCCCGTTGCCAACATACTAGTAGCAGCTGCCGGTGCTGATGGAGATGATCGCTTTGATCGAGCAAACATTGTTCTTCTTGAGGTGGTGGTGGCGGTCGACGCGTCCACCGTCTGACTGAAGTCACGCGACACTAGGCAGGGTGTACTATTTTACCCATGCTAAGCAGAAGTATACCTTCGCCTCTGATGCTGCAACCCCAATCTGCCTGTAGTTTCTCATTGCAGCAAACGCCACAACATACCGAATCACACAAAAGGCTTTTTGTGGCAATGTTCCCCAAAAAGATCGCAGCACGTTGATTCTAAGCTCATTTGTGGTAGTGCCGGATGCGTCGAACGAACCAGCAGGTACATCTATCTCAAGCTTGTCTGAGTTCCCATCTTTCAACTGTACCTCACAAGCCCAAGGCTGAACCCATGCCTCCTGGGTGGCAGCTTCCCGATAGATTTTGCGCCTGTGGGTGGCCCGGCTTGATTCACGGCAGTGCTTTGTGTGCGTAGCTTTGTTGTGTCCAAACCTTTAAACTTTGTTTGAATTTGTTCGGGGTCCCCAAGCTCTGGGACGCCTTTCAGATAAGAAGTAGCTGGCAGCTAGTCCAACATGGCACGGATGGTTTCAAACATGCGCTCGCTGAAGGCGAGCCTGACAACGGCTTGAGCCGCTCCACTCAAGGCACCCTGACACCCGGAATCGAGCCTCTAAAACCTAAGGCCCCACACCCACCAACAGGAAGGCGATGTTTTTACAACTTGGGGTTTCGGGCTTCGACCAATATGACTGCTTCAATGCAAATCTTCAGCCCACTCTGCCCATATTCCCTCCTGAGCCTCGAAGCTACAAGCCTACGCTCTTTAAGCCGGCCTGCATGCAAAGCAACAAGAACTGCAATATTCTCAGCCAGACAGTGGGGCACAGGGGTGCTGTATATTGATTGTAGTACATTATGGTAAAAGAAGAGAGCTTCAGTGTATATGTTAGTGTAATTTGGGATACGAACATATCAGCCCCCATGTTGAGACCACGGAGGATTCACCACAACCGCCGCTGCCACGCCACGAACCAAACCGTTGTGACTCGCAGATACTCTACGATTCAGAGTATGACAACGTGGATCCCATGCACGAACTCTCTCTTCTCGCGGTTGGAAGGACTTAAGTGTTGAACAGTTACGCAACAGTGCCGAAGAAAATTGCGCAGCTCCTTCTGACAACCAGCCTCACCGTTAAAATCTACTCCACCACTATCATACTACTATCATGATCAAGACGATCGTGGGGAATGAAGGTATAAATCCTGATGGACACGGTGGCCATGATATGGATCCGTAATCGCGACGATGGTGATAGCGCGGGTGTGGGGATGAGTGGTTGTAGACCGTCATCACCATGAACACGCTAGTCCAAGCATCAGAGGTAGGCCGTTGTGACGATGAAGGCAGATGGGGAGCGGATGATTCTGACATGAAATCGCTTAGGCTTGAGCAGTCCCGGTTTCTAATGGAACTGAAGGACTCTAAACAATACCCCTAACCTAAGCCCTGACCAGTACTTGGCGAGCCACTGCAGGCTATCAGCATCCAAGGATGTTTCATCGAAGGCCCAGTCGACGTGGCCGCTTGCAAGAGGCTCTTCCTGCTCTGAAGAGCACAGAAGCGGTTTGGGTTTAGGGCGTTTCGACTCTCACTCTCGCGCAAGGCAGGCAAGGCTCCACATAGGGCGTTTCGACTCACGCACTCGCTCAAGGCAGGCACGGCAAAGAGACGTCCCGAGCTTGCTACATGTACATGCCCAGAAACTGTCTTCCTCTTTAACCCGAGCTGCGCAATAACCCAAAACACAAGAGAGTAAGGGGGAATATATCTGTCAGATTGAGAAGACAGTGTACTGGTGACTTCAGAACCAGTCTTTTTTTGTTTGAATCGGTCGCATCTGTGTCCGATTAAGACACGTCCTTGTCTGGACTCCTGGTAGGGCTCTAGAACAGGGTTCTCTTCCATTGCTTCCAGTGCTCTGTCGGATCAGATGCAAACATTATTACTAAACTTCGGCCCTAGGCCTAATGCCAGCTGTAAGCCGGGGCAGCTGGGAATGGAGCAGACAGGGCCGACAGCTAGACATTGCTTCTTCGTCTCACTCGCTGTGACTTTGCAGTAGTAGCCGGAGTAGGTCGTGACCTTGGTGCACTTCCCGTCGCAGGCCGTGACATCTTGGTCATCGTAAGTCGCTTTGCCCGGCAGGCCGTCGCCCTTACGGGTGATGTCCGAATAGGCCAGCTGGTTGGCATAGCCCGCATGAATCTCTACATCGCCGATGTCACCATTGAAGCCGGAGCTTTTGGCACTTCCCACCTGGATGGACTTGATGGGCCTGAGGATGAAATCTTCTGCAGTCTTGCCACTCGGAAGTCCTGCTTCAACTTTTTCCCCGTCGAGGATGAACTGCGCGTTCAACCCAGCCTTCACGAGCTCGAAAACGTCTTACTATAATCCAGTCTCTTGCTGGCCCCAATCCAACCTCCACAACCATCCAAGCCCCGGCCATGAGGTGCCATACCAGACTTCGTCTGCGAGTACAAACACGCTTTGCCTCTCTTGCCGTACACAGGACCCAGACCGTGGCTGGTGAATACGACATCACCTGAAGCGCTCAGTCCGTGGGTAGTTGGCGTTATGTCCTCAAACTTCACCTTGCACTTGATGCGGAAAGACGGCGTCGGAGAACCCGCTGGCATCAATGGTCTTACCGTTGGTGCTCACCGTAGGCGGCGGCATGCCTTGAGTGACTTTGGCCTCCTCGGTGCCCCGCAAGTTCAGAGCTCCCACCAAGCTCAAGAGCTCTGCAGGTACACTGCGAGCTTCATTTTTGGCAAATGAGGCGCCGGCTAGACACACTCTGTCAAGCGGTGGCTTGAGCCCAAAAAACTAGGGCATTTAGGGTCTCACGGCCAAACGAACACCCCATGTTTTTGTTCTGACATCCTCAAATGTACAAGTACAGTACATGCAGTGTCTGCCTCCTCGTCGTGGTGGTCCTCCAGGTAAGCGTGCCGCAGGGCATCGTGGGCCGTGAGACGCTTGTTCCTCAAAACTACACCCTAAAGTGTAAGCTTAAACCCGAGACCCTATAAGCCCTAAACCCCAAGCTTTTGAACGGGGGGAGCTGCAAGATTGAGAAATTCCCATGGAGAACTCGAGACCTGGATATTCGCATGCTTCCATTCAGGCATGGGTGAAGCTTGAGGTGGAGGCTTAGGGGAAGCCTTATAAGAGGTCTCGAGAATTTCGGCGTTAATCGTGCCCAGACATCTGGAACTTCTTACTCTGTCTTCAGCATGGGCTTGGATTGTAAGAACCTCTAAACCCGACACCCCACAGATGCTGCAGCTTGAAGTTTCGGATGCATCTTTACGGTGGCTTGTTTAGATAGGCTTGGTGAAAGCTTCCGCACTAGTAGGTTCCAAAACCTAGTCAAGGAACATACTAGCAATGATGTCAGCATTGGTTTTCCCTAAACCCAAAGCCCGTGATTTTTGAACACCCGGTACCACCTGTACCGGTTTGTACAGGAACACGGCTCCGGTATCCAAGATTCCAAGAGACTCCTTAGGGCTTAGGGTTTAGGGCTGTGCCGCTTGTACCGGTTTGTATGGGGGCCATTTCCTGCACCCAGGATCCTTGGGGTGGAGTTCACCAACCACAAAAATGGTACGTCAGCTAGCTCCTGCCCTCAAGGATCTACTTTTTTCGTGTGGTGGTGAATGGTAGATCCAAGGCGGGTACCATACATACATATGTATGTTATATATATATATATATGTACACATGTGTATATATGTGTATAACAGGATGCCAACAAACCCACTCGCGCAAAGGTGCGGGTCGAACTGAAGAAGCCTGTCGAGGAGGTCACACTGGGTGTCCTTGGACTGAAGGGTTGGAGTGGCTTTGGCGTCTAAAGTTTCAGGGTTTCAGGGCTTTAGATTTAGGGTTTTTCGATGGCTTTGGGCTTCTGCGGGCTTCTGACACCCAGTAGGATTCTGTAGTGGCAAATTCAAAGCCTAAGGGCCTAAGGGGTTGACGGATTGAGTTGTGTTCCACGATTTGCAGGTGAGAAGCTTGGGGTGCTTTCGCTTTAGCCATACATGCTAAACTGCAAAAATTGAAATGTTCTGGCAAATCAAATCCGACTTTTAGAGGCAGGACAGGCAGGACCTTTCTTTCTGCTGCTACCTCCGCCTGGCTAACTAGCCCCCCTACCTTGTTCCCGAACCTGCAACTGAGAACTCGTTCTGAAAACCGGGCTGGTGTATATTGGTCGCAGACCCATCTCTTTGAGAGTGAATCTGAGGCACACTCCTGGCTAGTCGGAGCTTGTAACAAGGAGAGCCGGAGAGCCCGGAGGTCTTCCCCTAAGATAGTTAAGTTTCCGGACTGACTTAACTCCTTCAAAATCTATGAAAGGAATTCAGAAACGACACGTGGATTCCCCAAGTCAGCAAAGATGCAGATGCATGCGGGAACATCGCCTTCCAGTTCCTTGAGCACAGGGGACTCTCTCCGTTCAAAGTTCAAGTCGACACTCCGCGACTTCGACATCTTGTAGGACTTCTCGACCACTAAGCCCGCCGAAGCTCAAGCTCAACTGTGGGCGTGCCGGCTCAGGAGCACCAAAAGCAACTGGGGAAAGCGATTCCTTTACCTTTCCGAACATCCGCCTGGGGGTTAGGATTGTGGTTGAAGATTTCTCAAGTTCAAGGTATGAAATGCCTCCGAGATTCTGGCGCGGGAGACCCGGGTACTTGGTTCTCAGGAAGTTCCTGGCCGCCTGGTTTTCCTCCTTGGCTGACTGAAGTTACTACTCATTATTAGTGTTACTATTACTTCGTACTAATATTACGATTCAGATGATTGTTTCTACCATTAAGTACTATCATGATAAAAGAAGGAAAAAGTCATGAATTCGCGTCCGAAACGACTTGAATTTCCAAACAGTTGACGAGATGCCTTTCATGAATCCTCATGAGGGTTTATGCGCAACAGAATCCTGTCTAAGGCCCCTACATAGAACCCTGATAGTAACCCTTATAGTATCCCTGTTAAGGAGCCCTTTAAATCCGAAACTCGTCCTTTGGGTCTCTTTCTTGCTACATCGGGCGAATCCTTCAGCTCACCTCCCTGAACTCTGGACGGGCCTGCTCTGCTACATCGAAAAGAGGGGGGAGACTTTGGACGTGAGGGGGCGGCCTGCTGTGGCAGGTGCAAAGATTCTTCGGCCCCAAAACTCACAGATGCTGCGCCTCACGAATTCAGTTGCAGCCCCCACCATCTTTCAGCCCAGCAAATGCCTCACTCCGAAATGCCGAGGCACCGGTATGAAGGAGAGTTCGGACTCCTCTCCAATCCGGGGCTCACGTACCCATGCAGTTGTACAGGCCCATGCCAAACAGTCGGGCTTTTGATGCGAGTATCTCTCTGCAGGCTTAGGGACATATTCATTCTTAACCCGGTTGAAACGCAGCTCGCCCTCTGCAGCTTTCTGCATGGCCTCCGGGGTTCCCACGATGGCGCAAATGGACCGCAGCCTCAGCAAGATATCCAATGGAACTTGCGCGAACACTCCTGCAACTACTGACCCAAAGCATGGGCAGGAAATCGATTCAACTGTCGACCCTTTATAGCAATCATTGCTGCTTTGTATCCGGATGACAGCTTGTAGTGCTTCTTTAAACTGCCAACCCCTTCTCCCTGCAGACCACCAGACACACTGATCTTCAAACCCTCCTCCCTAAACCCTAAACTTTTCTAAACTCTATAAACTCTGTAAATCCTATAAGCCCTATAAACCCTAAACCCTATTCCCTACTAAACCCTTAACTGTGCCTCCGATCAGGGAGCCAAGCGACTGGTCTAAGAAGTCCGCCCCACGGAACATGGGTGCCCGACTAATGAGCTCTCCGAGGATGCATCCTGCACGGCATTTAAGGCTTCGACGTTGACTTTGGGAGGCAAAATAGCTTTAGTGCTTAGTAGCTGCTATAGAGCTTGACTACCATGCTCTCTTTTGTTTGTGGCTTTCAAGATGTTGCAATTTGGGGCACATGGTCCAGGGTTCGGTTGTGAAGGATGAGGCTGTGAGCATTGGGGTTAATGCTGCTCCCTCTCGCATCGAGTGTGAGGGGCTACCAATGGCTACGAGATGCTACGAGTACCTGCTGAAGGTGGGCGGTTTGGCGTACCGCCAGGCTTCTTTCCGGAGCTAATGTTGCCGGCTTAGGGTTACGTCTGTTGATGTTCCTGCAATACCCTGCCGCAACAACCCGGTGAAATTCAACTTTGACACGAAACCCGAAGAGCTTCGGAAGAGCGACGGCTACAAGAATAGATGCAACAGCGAAGCTGACAAAGAGCAAGCAGGTCTCGGTCGAAGCTATCACTAGGCCCTAGGAGGCCAAGAAGCCCTCGGTCGTGAGGAGATGAGGGAACTACTAGGCTCGGAAGCACTAGGTTTGCTGTGCACTCCTTTTAAGGTACGAGGTTCACTGGCTTCGTGTAGGTAGCCTCCGACAGTAAGTGGAGCACTGGAGGATCTGCACGCAAAGTACGAACCAAACAGTGTCATTTTCTAACGAAATAGCTGCACGCTCTGCTGGCGGACTCGGGCTTTGGCACGACCAGCCAGAGTGAAGAGACGGCCATTTTTGGACGGTATCCAGTGCACTGAGCTGGCCCTTTTGCGGTTTGGTGGTGGGGGGCGTTGGTTCCAGGGCTCCATGCTTTCAAGACATACGTACATGCATGCATGCAGACACGAAGGCTGAGCCCACGTGTAGTGCACAGCACGCATTTCAGCACACATGCCACGTTACATATGTGCACGCACGCACTCAGACCTACATACAGGCCTACCTGCCTACCTGTCACACTACACAACCTAGCCAGCTGGCTACGCCCTTATAGCCATGCATATATGCAATTGCCCAAACAAGCAACAACAACAAACTTAAAAAAAAACGAAAGAACCAACCAACCTACTAGCCCGACACTGACAGACCTCATAAATAGCAGTACCGAAATCTCACAAGCAAGAGACGCAGTGCCCAATGCACCTGCGCTCCACATGTCTACAGCCGCCGTGTACTCCCTGGAGGTGAGGATAACCTCCCAGCGGAGCAATCAAAGGAATCGAAGTGCCAAATTGAAGAAGACACTCCTGCACCAGAGTTCCATCACAGAGAACCATGTTGTGGCTCCAACCCTGTATACATACATCCCCAATTGTTATGCGAAGCTCCTGCCAATGTAAGCTGCGACTGCACCCTACCAAATCCGTTCGCGGACTTTGGTCGTCGAACTATAGGGTTTTCAAAACAAGACAAGAGCCACTCGGGTCGCTTAAGTTGGTGTCTTGCCGCATGTAGGCAAACCTTTATGTAATTGACTCTGTGATGGTAGATTGCCCCTATACCCTATACTCTCACCGCAATTATCCGCAATGAAAATCAAAACCCTCGTCGTTTCGTTCTGCAGTTCTTGCTGCCACTTCTGAGTTTCTTGGCAAACGCCGCCGCCTCCGGCGCTCTATACCAGCGGGTGCCCACGTACTCCGTCCGGAGCCAGGTGTCATCGTCCTGATCGAAGCCCGCCCGTCCTGGGTTGAGGGCATCGGGAAATTGCCGCGTCAGGGTCTACGATCTGACCGCTTCACGGATGCAGGAATGCAAGACTAGGGGGCAAATGGTCCAATTCGGTGCGAGGCTTTCTGGAGCTCCGATGGCAGGACGCTGGCTGTGTACTGCTTCTGAGCTTGGCATTGAAACCTCCTCAAAAGTTCAACCGAAAACAGTCCTTCCTAAACCGCACACAGCCTGGACAATGTTGAGGTGTGGTGGCGCGGCAGGGTTTCCATTGGAGCAAAGGAAGTTCAAGGTGTGTCGAAAAAGGGAATCCCGGAAGCCACAGTAACAGCTATTGCTCGCAACATCAGAATCGCCTGTTCCTACTGCTCCCAGTGGTGCTACTGCCTAGTGGAAAGCCGGAAGCCGAATCCTGACACGCAGGACACTTCTCTTGCGGTTTTCAGCGGCCTCTGGCGAGACCGAAGTCGCAAAGCCTGCCATGCTCAAAGACCAAAGTCAGCATGCGTACACACATGCATAGGGTGGGTTTAGGGTTTAGGGTTTAGGGTTTAGGGATACATTTAGCACTCACACTCCAAGCTCAGGCGAGGTTTATGGCGGAAAGCAGAAAGCGGAGGCACTCATCACGAGCACAGGCATACATACATGCATGAATGCATCATACATGCGTACCCAAAGCCTACATCCCCAAGACCGAAGACAAACCCCAAACTACTACATCCGGGGAAGCGGCGTTCCATTCTGCATGAGATGCGGTCAAGGCATAGGCCGAAAGTTAAATATTGAAAGAGGCTGCACGGAGATATCCTGCTTTATATGCAAGGTGAGAATCAAGGAATGAATCACATTGCTGATCAAGGCTTCCGCGCGATGGGTGAGTCTCGGGACGAACCGGATTTGGAGAAATTCACGGGCCAAATGCAGAAATATTGTTTGAACCTGGGTTGTTTGCTGCTGTCTGCTTTGGAGGCTAAACCATGACCTCTATACTGCAAGCCGAGGCACTTGATGTCACAATTCTTGTTTACCTGAGCGACGCGGTGGTTGGTTCAGAGATGCCCTCGTCTCCTGGCTGCAGCCCAAGCATGTACTCAACGTAGCTGGTATTGATGTCAATGTGAATGTTTCGGAAGTAGGGTCCATACCACTAGCAAGCCGAGCTTGGGGATGTTGTCTGGTTGAGTTTGGACGAAGCCTTCTGAAGACTGACTCGAGGGGTTTGTAACGTTTAAGGTTTAGGGTGTTCAGGCTTTCAATTTTCCAAATGGGATCTCGGAGCGCTGGAACAACCCCCGACCCCGACCTCACACACAAAGCAATCCCAGACCTCAAGCCCGAAGTCTAAAGCCAGTGTGTTCGGAACCCAGACCCCAAACACACATAACCGGCAGCCAAAACACCAGAACATTCAGAGGCTTCAGATCCCTGTGCACCACATTGGCAGAATGCAAGTACCTTGGTCTCAAGGGAAGCACATAAACTCACCTATTCTCTTCTTCCTCTGAATACTCTAGAAAGTTGTGGTTTCAAAACTTGGATATCTGACTATTGCTTCTGCTGCTAGTAACTGCCAGTAGTAAAACTCTTGGGTGATATGGGTAGTTTTCTAAATTAGGATCCTCTAGGGTCCTTTTATCAGGGTGCCGTACTATATTGGGGACCTAAAAAGGGACCCTACTTTAGAGAACTACCCATATGCTTCTTGTTGAGAAGTGGCTCTGAGGCTAAGTGCAGCCTTCAGGGAAACATAGGGGCCTTAATAATCTGAATACGATTTTGGGCAATATATTATACTATAGTCAAAAAGACTGGTATCGAGGGGCCTTAACAGTTTGAATAGGATTTTGGGCAATATAGTACTATCGTCAAAAAGACTGGTAAATAATTTAGGCCCCTATAGAAGAGTTAATGGACCCTTTGCAAAGCCAAGGCTGAGGACATGCTGACTGTCACGGCAACAAGAAGGGCCTTCATAACTAGAAGTTTCCCTCTTGCATGGCAAAGATCATAACCAGAATAGGGCGCTGGGGTAGCTTTAGTATAACTCTCATGAGGAACCCCCAGGAATAATATTGGTAATCAGCCTGGGCTTCTATATTAGAGACTGCCGATTGAAGTACTATGAAACAGGGGCCATGTCTTTTGCAACTGCTGCAGCAACTACCGCCGGCGGCGACAGTGGAAACGCAAGCACATGATTCTTCGCAACCAGCTAACACATGTTTGTAAGACCAGACATATCATGAGGACGACAGCTGAGATTTGCAAGCGCCAAAAAAGCAGCAACGAAACGGCAACTCAACACTCCTCATGCTCTCTCTTGCGCATGTGCTGAATTGTGTTGAAACGGCTTAAACCTCCACCCCTTTCCTTTTGCTCGCCAAGACAAGTCGCAGCAGAGCCCGCAAGATCTGGTAAATGAAAAACTGCACGTGGTCTTCGCCTGCACCCAAAAAGATGAATCGGAACAGGTCTGCGTGCGGCTGACTGGTGACTGGATGTGGATTTCAGTTCCTACTGACCTGAAACCCCATGGTAAAGCCTAAACTGATCCTACACTCGCTCCCTTATCGGCGTGGCTTCTCTCTCCCCGAAATATACCCGAAGGCATAGACTCGCATAGACGGTAAGTGTGGAATCTGGGAGTTGGGTTTTAAGACAAGCTTGTGTTGCCCAGCAAAATAATGGTGTTACAGTCCCCATAAGACGATGACGAAGCTAACGCTTGAGCCCGCAAAAAACTATCGCAGGTGAAGGATCATGCATGCTGAGTTTCGTATCATGAAGCAGGGTGACTGAAATAAAAGCGAAGTTGGCCCCCAATGTACCGTACATATATCCTACCTACTCACAGCCCTACTTCCAGTTCCTCAAGTAAACTGCAACCAAATCACAGCGAATCTCCCAGCTGCCTTTAGCCTAAAACCCCTGACGCCCACGGCAAGGCACTGAGGGGCTGGTCCGAGCAAATCACCGTGTGCAGATCTGCATCCATGAGCTCCGTCACCAGGTAAACCTCGGACCCCCACTTGGGCCCCAAATAAAGCCAGTGATACTAAGACTATTAATAATATTATAATACTAAGGATAAGAACAAAAAAAGACTGATAACAATAATAATACTAGCTCTGGTAATCATCATCATACTGATAACAAGAGTAATGATGATACTACTAATGCTGATGACACTAACAATAAAAGCAATAGTCTCAGGCCGTAACTCTGAACTCTGAACCCTGAACCTATACCGATAATCTTCATTCTGGTTTTTCTTGGGGGTTACCTGATAGGATCCTAGATATAAACTGGTTAAACCAAGTTGTATTCCTACAGGGGTTCGGACTCTAACTGAAACCTCCGGAACACTTCAAGAAGGGCTTCGAGGGTTTTGCGGTCGAGGGCCAGGAGACCCAACCTCACTGAGCTGCGATTCCCCGAAACAAAAGATGTTCTCCGAGTTAGATTCCTTCCGGGTTCTTTCGTGCCAGGGGCTTTGGTTGAAAATTCCGGTTTGGGTGACGGGCTGTTCCGGGTAATTTGTGCAGCAGTCAATTCCCATGTGGGAAAAAATGCATGGTAGGTGGCAGAAGGAGATGAGTGAGTGTGGAGAGTCCGATCTTCGAGGAAAACACGGCAGTAGGACGTGACATTCAGCGTTTGGAAGGGCCCCTGAACCCTGAACCTGTTTTTGCAACCGGCTTTCAACCCTCAACCTAATCACAAAACCCCGAGGCAGCAGTGAACTCGCCTCGGTGAACACAGTAGAAGGTGGCTCAAGGACCTGCCAAGAAAAAGACTCCGAACTATTAAACTCTACTGCTGTCTAGGGTGTAGGGATTGTAGCTAAAACCTCGACTGGAATTCCATTGTTGTCTTTTCCCTCTCGCATTGCGAATTCATTATGTAGGTTTGTGGTTAGGATCCCAGAACCCACCAACAGGCTAGCCAAACAAGGAAGTCTCTTGTAAATTATAGGTAAGCCTGTACCTGGAGTCCCAAAGCGCACTCAACATAAACCCTTTCTGCAGCAGGCTTCTCTCGCCCGGAACTTAAGCCCGAGATCTGGAAGCCCACTAAACCCTAAACTTAAACCCTTTTGTTGCCCCTGGACTGCAGATCCTGAGCTGCATGGTAGGGGGGGCATGTGTGTAAATCTTGCAGGTCTGGTTTCGGCAGATTCTCAAAACCTAATAACTCGAAGTTCTGGTCAACGGGCCGAACGTCTTGCACCGTGCATCGGGTTCAGGGTTTGGAGATCAAGTTTGGGTTCAGGGTTGACGACTTAAGCTTTAGAGACCACAAAATGGCATCCACAGCCTGATCTAGCAGGTATATAAACTTCAAGCTGCACGCACACGCACTCGCACTCGCACACGCGCACGCATACGCATACACTATCAACAAATAGCATTAACTAGTCAACTAGTTAGTTAATGTATGTGTAGATTATGTGCATATTACATGTACATACATATATATGTATATATATATATATGTATATATCTACATATCTACATATCTATCTATCTATCTATCTATCTATCTATCTATCGCACGCACACGCAGGATATGCAGGCAGCAACAGTGCGCATGGCTTGTTCCGAAACCCGAATCCCACAAAACTCAGGCCGTCTGAGTACGATGCTCAGCTCACTCAGCGCTGTTGCGTTGGGGTTGGGGGGCTTGTGGATGTTTCGGCGCTGGGTTTTAGGGTTTGCCGGTCCGAAAGCTATGTGATCTCTACAGCTTAAGCAATCCAAAAACACCCCTGAAGGAAAAAGGAGGAAAAGCTACCTTGACAAGCTTGATGATGCACTCATGCTCCAGCATGCTCAGCCTCAGTCGTTAGGAATGGGAACAGCCTCACTCCCTTTCTCATCCTTCTGATCGTCATGCTAACTTAGTGCCCCAATCCGGGTTAAGGTGTCTGCTCCTGGTGTTGGCTTCATTTGGCCTAGTGCAGCATCGGGCTTGTTTGGCGAACTCACAGATGTGAGATTGATTCATTCTTCAACTTTGGTTTCAACACATGAATCACCCACTGGCAGATTATCTTTTCTCGAAACACCAGGCTTTATACTTTATTAGCAGTCATCAAATCGAGGCTACCAATATAGTAGCCCACCCAATCAGCTACAGCCTAGCTGCAACATCCTGCGAAGCTTAATTCTGTCATAGGAGCGAGAGTGTATTCTGATTTGTTCACCTGTCCCGATTATTTAAACTTAGCAGTACGTTCAACAGGAATTGAATAGGGTTTCGGGGATATGAGGATATAACCATGATGACCCAAACGAAAATTACCTAGTACTAAGCACTTAATCCCTTCCCCGTTATATCCAAAGTGGCGGCCTCCCCCCAATAAAAACTCGGAACATGTTTTTTTTTGCTAGGGGGTAGTTTTATCTCTACAGCCACGTTAGAGGGGTCGTGCTCTTGCTCCTACTCTGCGCCTCTTGCGCCTGCTCCTGATCTTGCTGTTGCTCCCGCATTTGCTCCTGCATTTGCTCTCACTCCCGCTCTTGCTTTTGCTTTGCTCTTGCTGCTGCTGTTGCTGATGCTCACGCTTTTGCTCTAGCTCCTGCTTGCTCTAACTTCTGCTCTTGCTTTGGCTCTTGCTCTTGCCCTTCTCGAAGCCTCGAAACCCTCCGCCAAACTTCAGAATAAGTTGTAAAGGGCGGGGATGATTGCGGGAGGATTCGCCCCAATGCGTTTTTATTATCAGGGGGGTGTTGAATAAAAGAGGGAAGCGATTAGGCCCCTGGCCTTTATCAGCCCAAGCACACTATTTGGCTGAGTAGGTTCCTGCTTGAACTTCCCAACCCGCAGACCTCACTGCCATGATACCGATGGCCCACTCAAGGGCTTTACAAGTTAGGGTGTTTTGTGCATAATCGTCAAGGTTGCACTGTCGAGCCCCCTATGCGCTGGCGAAACAGAACTTGATACACGTCGTCTTTTTCGCGGCCGAATAGCTGGTGGCAACACAATACCTTCAACCCAAGCCCTTTATCCCAGACCCTAAACCCTAAACCGTAAAACCCACTTTAACCCAATTTTGCATCTCGTCTCGTTACTGCCAGGTAGTTAAGACTCAAACCCCGATAAAACCCAAACTGCAAACAAGGCACAGCTTGATCTCTCTCAAGCATCGCTTGGCCTGGTCATTGTGACGGTGTTCCGTTTAAGGTTTGCGCTTCATTAGGGTTTAGGGTTTAGGGTTTAGGGTTTATAATGTTGAGGGTTTACGGCTTGAGGTGCATTGCTTGTGGCGCAAGTTTTATCGAGTGCTGAAATGCACTGCCAGCTTGAAGAACGATGCGACCCTGGACATCATGAACCCTGACCCATAGCCACCAAAAGCCCGGAAGCACAATCTCTGCCCGCGCCTCGACTGTGTTTCTACATGGGTTCGGGATCTTTTTCACCGCAAACTCCTGGTGCTGGCTGGGAATCTGGTCTAGGACACAGGCTCAGGGGTTCCTAATGCAAGGTCTGTGGGTAAGGACAACTGGCGAGTTGCAGGGCACTAGGCATCGATGGTACGCAGTTTTCAACCCTGTCCTCCCCCGTCCGATCATCTCGGAAGGCGGAAACGGCTCCGTATGTACCCTTGCCTTAGAACAGTGCAATCGCAATCTGCACTGGGATACGCAGGCCCGATCGAGAGTCAAGCATGATTGAGCAGTCGGATGCAAAAACGGGAACTACAACAACACACGTCGCACAAACAAAGAAGCCTCCGCACATGTATAGTGTTAAGGCATTTCATAGTAAGGGCCGATTACGAGACACGCTGTATAAGATAGAAGTCTACGTCAACTCGAGATATGCAATGACCTAGGAAGTTCCGCCTCAACAGTTGAACTAAGGGGGCGACGATATATGGCAAGGACCGGATGAGTAGGAAGGGCTACACACGGAACTATCAAACCATAGAAACCTAGATACGGGAAACATGATACGGGTGATCAGAGACATCCTGATACAATGCTTCTGCAATACAGGCAACAATAAAGCCAATAAGAGGAGCTTTTCTTGAGCCGTAGGTGCGATGATTACGGAGATCCAAACAACAGACCTGACAGGACAACCCTCGTGGCAAGACAGAATCAGGCCTGCATAGCCCTCGTAGAACAGTACGAGAAATGCATGTGGTCTCAGACTTGGGTGCACGTGGCAGTGAAACAGCGATATTATTTGTCATTAAGGCTTAATTTGCAGAACCTTCTCGAAACATTCCTAGTACTTTAGCAGCAGGAACAAAGATTTGCCACACTTCTGAGATGTTGGTCGGGCATGTCTCGAATCGAACCCTACATTCTACGTGTGCATGTATATATATATATATATATGCATATATATGTATATATATATATACACAGATAAATAGATAGATAGATAGATAAATAGACATACACATATGAAGCTAAACCTACCATTTCTATTGGAAGGGGTTTGTGAGCACTTTAGGCACGCCGTTTCTTTGCACGGTACTCTTTCTCACAGACAACATCTTCAACAAACATGGCCATGCTGCCAGTTGCAGAATGCACAAGTATCATTGCTTTCTCGCAGCACCATAGGTTTCCAGTTCCAGACTTAAGATGCTTTGATGCTGGATTCCGAAACTGAGTTTCTACGGCCAAGCTCAACTTATTGCGTTCAGAAACCGCGTTCCAGTGCTCGTTGAAGACTTCAAACTGATTCGGGAATGTTCTCGGCAGCAGAACGCGCGATCCAGACATGTTCTCGACGAAGGGTCTGTTTAGTTGATGTAAGGAGTCTAGAACCCCCCCTCCCCCTCCCGAAAGAACTGGTGTGATGCCTCACAAGTTCCTGGCATACCTCAGTCTGTTGAACCCTTCCCCGCGCACCGTGTTTAGAAATAGCGGCCCAGAAGCCCAAGACTCGAATCAGCGAAAGGTGGTCAGGGACTCGAAACGTAGTACCGCCCGCCTGGCGACGATGACGAGGAATAACACATATGTTTATGTTTGCATTCATTATCCATTGAGTTGTTTATGTATGTATATATGCAAATACATATGTACACGTGTACATATACATACATATATGTACAGATGTATATACGTATATGTATATATGTACACATATATGTACATGTGTATGTATGCATGCATGCATATATGTATATGTATATGTATATGTGTATGTATATATACGTATACGTATATGTAAAAACATGTGCGTGTGCGTGCATGTTCATATATATATATACATACATACATATATATACATATATATGTACATAACATGGACACACATACACATACATATACATATACATATACATATACATATATATATTTTTTTATATACATATACATATACATATACATATACATATACATATACATGTGTATATATATATATGTATACACATATACATATACATATACCTGTACATATACACTTACAAATACTTCTATATGCATAGAAGTGTCTGTCTAACTTACTGCATCATTATAACTATACGTCGGGAACAATATCTGTGTGTGGTCATCTGAGTCATCTGTGTTCGGATGACTGCCATGCCCCTGCCATTACCAAAACACAGAATCCGATCGGAAGATTCGCCACAGCCCATGATCGAACCCTTTCACCCACCGAGCCTTGTGCTCTGCTATCCTTGGATGCAGCAGAAACTGCCTGAACATGATGTTGCCTGAACCCTAACCTAACCTTAACCCTCAGGACACGGAATGTACCTGCTCAGTTGGCTGCTGTGCTTGAGATGCGGAGGTGAACATATAGTACGTCCAAGCACAGTGACCGGGAGAACTTCGGCGCTGGGATGCCTTCGGGCTTGAAAGACTCCTGGCAGTTGGATACCTTCTTTTAAATTTCAGAAGCCTGGCAGTGTGGGATCTGTAGGGTTTCCGCTTCAAGAAAAGCCCAGAACTTTTACCTCAGGTCTTGCGAGCTCTGGATCTGATCGTAGAGACGTGAATGCCTCGATGTACTCCATAGCTTCACTACAAGTAGCTTTCTTATTCGGAAGCTCGCCGCTCGTCACAGAAGTCTCCTTGCTTCAATCGTGGCAATCTCCACATAAGGGCCCAGAATGTTCAAGATTTCCCAAAAGCCCTCAAGTCAAAGGCACCCAATCCTGATCGGGCTGACTCAACTTCTGGCCCTCCATAGCTGAGGTTTTTCAGGTTGGAGTCCCAGGAGGCAGGACTTCCTCTGCCGGAGTCGACTCCACCGCCGACGGGTCGTCGTTCCAGGGTGGGTGGCAGGCCATGCTAGAGGGCTTCGACCCCGTGTTAGCCTGTAGTTTTAATTGAAGCTGACAGGGCAGCTATCCGACGAGTGTGGTGTTGAACCGAACATGTTGTGCAAACACATGAGCTGGAGTTGCAAGTGACTGGGTCGTGCCAGGCTATGGAATAGTGTCGCCTTCTTGCAGCGCAGGAGTTTGGATTGGCTCAACCTTGCATGAAGGGTCAATCACAACATCTGCCCATGGTCAACGAATGGGCTTTCGTGGTTGTCAGACTGATCTACTCATAATCTTTGTTGTCGTGTTACTTGAGAGCATCGCGGCAGCGAGGCACATGCGAAATCAGGGCCCAGACCCACTCATGCTCAATGTGGGTGGGGAGGTAGATGCTTAGAGTTTCCATGTGCGTCGAGTGTACTGCACAGTTCCAAGCCTCGGAAAGCGTCGGGGTTCGATATCGAGCTGACGAATGCAACTCGGCCAAGACATCCGAGGCTCTTAGCTCCTTCCTTTAGGGTTTAGGGTTTAGTTTAAGGCGCGTCTAATGCGCTCGCCGTTGCACTCCCAGTCCACGAGCCCAGCAACCATGCACACACAACAGATGCACGCTTCCTGTCTCCCTGATATGTGGCAGTTGTATGGCTTGTATAACAGCGCCCTGCAAGACACTGTCTGGCTTCATGCTGCCTTTAAATCCGGTCTCGAATATCAGTCCATCTCTAGAACCTGTCCCAGCGAAGACGGGTCCTGCATCGTCGTCCTGCTTTATGCTGAGTGTTGGAGCGCGAGGGGTTAAGCCTCAGGCTCAGATCTCAAGGGAGCCGCAACCACTAAACCCGACATCCTAAACTAAAGACGCTAAATCCTAAATCTCAAGCCCCAAGCCCAAATTGAAGACGCATGGGGCACTTACAAACCTAGCTTTTGCTTTAGTAACCTGTTCATCTTCAGACCTTCCGCGGGACCTTGCCCGGAGACATCGCCTCTTCAAACTCTTCCCCATCCTTCCGAGCACACAGTCCAAGCGCTTTTAAAGATATCCACGAGGAATTATTTCCACGTTTAACACGCATACATCTTCCCAAGAAAACCGCAGCTCATATGCTGATCAGCACGTCGTAACCCAAATTCACAACTTGTATTCGGTCGGAGTGTCTTGGCGGCTGCCCGGTTTCGAAGTCGTTTTGCCGGGTGCCCCGTGATCAGAAACCACTCGTCTTGCAAATGGTAGTAACTCTGGTAGTACATTCCGTTTTCAAGCCTTTGGCTCATCGAACAAGCATTTGATCGCTTGCCGATCTCAAGTTCATTGATTCTGGTGAACCCTTGAGCTCTGTGTCACCTTTTGGTGATCGCAGCTTGCTTCTTGGTGCAGATGTTTTCCACTAACATGTCTATGGCACCAGTGACAGCCCTGATTTTGGCCCTCGCAGGAATCCAAAGCTGCTAGGATTCGGCTTTTGGTTTCTTGCTTCTGTCTTGCTAAAACAGATTCCCGGGAGGACGCCCTCGTTTAGCCGGGGTTTTTGTAAAGGAGCTCCATGTAACAAAGCTTTCGCAATAAGGAAACTGCATTATTTACTGTAGATCCCTCTAACTATGGGCACTTAGATTAGGTTTCTGGACAAGCACCCAGCGAGTGCCCTTCACAAATCAGTGAGTCCTTCACAAATTACTTTTTCTCTGTTTTCGATTACAAGCATGGTGAGTCGCGACCCAACTTGCCTAGCAGAGACTAGCCAGGTTCGGGGTTTGGGCATAACCCAGAAACCCTAAACATCTCCGGGTTGAAAGGCCTAAAGGCACCAGAGCCGCATCCTCGATGAGGCCCGCACGCACGCAGGCGCCTGCATACAGAGGCATCTCCTCGTCCATGGAGAGCCAACGCCTTATTCGGCTGGGCTCGGGCTTCTGGGTTTTGTAGGGTTAAGGCGCTTAGACTCGAGGTGTGTGTAGGCTCTGGGGCAGCGTTCAGAATTTCTTCGCTGTCTTGTCTTAACCGCCTTGGCTTGACTCTGCATGTCTGCATCCTGACAGACAGATTCCTGCCACCCGACACTCCTCCAGGATGGTCGCAGCACGATTACCCGGGTGTATGTCTGCGGAATCCGGAACCGATGTTCTAAGTGCACGTTGCTGTGAAGGCCGTTGCTTTCCAGATCAATTGCCAAAGCTACAACACAGCTTCTGCAGGAGCCGAAATAGAACCAACATGCAAAGGCGAAACCCTTGCAGCCCTACCATTCTATCACACACAAAAACTGCAGATTCAACTGTTCAACGCTGAGTGTTGAAAACTCCTGTGGCCCGACGATTCCACGTCTTTGCAAGGCCCGGCGCTGACGGATTCCAGGCACGCTGTCACAGCTCCAAAGCCGCAGGGGCGGCCTCGGCTCGAGAAATTTCAGGGATTCGGACTGCTTCTTCTCTCTCTGCGTCTCCCTCTCTCTCTCTCTCTGCGTCTCTCTCTCTCTCTCTCTCTCGCTCTCTCTCTCTCTCTCTCTCTCTCTGCGTCTCTCTCTCTCTCTCTCTGCCTCTCTCTCTCTCTCTCTCGATCTCTCTCTCTGCGTCTCTCTCTCTCTCTCTGCCTCTCTCTCTCTCTCTCGATCTCTTTTTCTCTATCTATCTCTCCCTCCCTCGGTCGCATGTTTTCCCTCCAAACCACATGTGGCTTAGATCCACGGCGTCTTATGCAAGCTGGATGCTGCTCGCAGGATGCGGAGCTAAGTGTGAAGGGTACAAGCCTCCTGGGCCTCTCGGGACCAGATTTCGAAGGAGTCTGAGTCAATGCTTTCATTGTAAGGGCTTTGTAAATACTTCATGGGATGTAGGGTTTATGCTTCATGGTGTTTTTACCGGTGATGTACGGGAGTCTCTGAAAAAAAACAAATGCTTTCAGGCAAGGGCTTGAGCTCTGAGCTGTCAAACCGGACTTGTGGGTTCGCGGTTAGGGCTCAGGATTTGGGGTTTAGGGAGGGATGTAGCACTTGGTTCAGGGCTTACCCTCGATGCTCGGCCAGAGCCCTGAAACACATCCCTGCAGCTGCGACGCATGGATTCTTCCGGCGAGCCTCGCAGTGCGGCCAGAGTCGGGGAATTCTTGGCACTTGGCCGGAAGGCGGTGGCTTTTAACAGCGGAGTTCCAAATTTCGGATTTTTGCTTTCTGAGTTTCGAGGCTCCTCTTCGCATCACCGTAAATCCTGTCAGAGCCTTCAGACCGAAGCCACAGCCCCATGAACCCCCAGCCCTTACAACCCGGATTCATTTCTTTGACCGTCTACCCACTATGGTGGGCGGCGCGTATGTCCCTCGACCTTGATGGCACAAGTGGACCCACTACCGAAACACGTTCCCCTCGGGACCAGTGCTGGTTGCGAAGCCTCCGCCCGCCAACATTTACGAAGATATGTTTCTTTCCAGTAGCTTCCAACAGGGAACGATTGAGTTTAAGCTCTAGATAAGCCTTAGAAGGAATAGGTTTGGATAAGTTTGCTGCCCTGCACAGCTCGGTGGGTCTGAGGGATGACCCACACCCGTATTCTAATAATCTAAGAAACCCTTAAAGGAACCCCACAAGAATCGGGCCGAAGCTGCTTGTCGCACAGCACCAAGTGCTCGAGAGTTGCGTTTCACTGCTGTAAAGCAAATTCAATGCAAACCCGGCAATCTAACCTGTTAACTCTGAGTAACCCTGAACCCTAGGCCCTCATAAAGCCCAACCCCTAAACCTTATAACTCCTTCGGACCGCCTTCGCAAATGGCTAGCCTAACCCTCTTCCCAAAAGCCCCTTCTAAATCCGACAGAATGCTTGATCCGAACCCTAAACACCCTGACACCCTGAGAAACTCCTTAAAGAGCTGCCTCCAGCCGTAAGGCAGAGATCTGATCGTGCTCGAAGCCGCAGGCTTCCATCCGGATGCCATACCTTTGAAAGCTTCGAAGCTTTATAGGGCTTTGTTTAGGGGTTCTTAAGGCTTCAGGGTTAGGGGATGTTAGAGGTTTAGTGAGAGACCTGCAAGGGGCTGGAGGCCTTAGTTACTTTAGGACTTTCAGGGATTATGGGGTGGCGGGCTTGTATTGGGGCTTAACTTGCGCAAGCCTGGCGAGGGCTTGAGAGGTTTAGAGTTCAATTTTAACTCGGTGTGGGCTTGGAGTTTCGGACATCCTGAAGTAGATCCGTGAACCTTGCGCTACGACGTCCGTGGCTTACGTAGAGCCGCCCCAAACCCCGAAACAAACCCTCAAACATTGAAATCGTCAAGGTGCTGAGTGTGGCTCTCAGTGTACAATATAACAAGTACCGACTTCGGCGTCTAAAGCACAAGACTTTATGAACGACACCTACTCTTGACTGTTTGGAACACTGGTCAGCTGATGGCGATGCTTTCCGAACTTCTGTCTTTAAGAACCCGGGAAGCGGTGCTTATGGGTTCGAAAACGGGGTACAACCTGACGTTTGAAGGCTTTGGGCTTGCTTTGAAGTCTTTCAGGATGTTGGGCTTCGGAAGCTCCTTCAAACGCAAAAGGACTTAAAGTCACCCGTGGTGTTTTTTATTAGTCTGATATGAATACTGCCGCCTGCTTGAGCGGCTGAGGCACTAGCATAGTGAGTTCAAAGGCACGGACGACACTTCATCTTAAAAAAGCTTTAGCATTCGACGCTTGCTTTGGCTTCGGGCTTGGGAAGTGGTCAATTAAGACTTCTGGGTTGCAATTTAGGCTGAGGGCTTAGTAAGCTTCCGGGGTTCTAGATTCAACATATATATATATATACATATAGATAGATAGATAGATAGATAGATAGATAGATAGACAGATAGATAGATAGATAGATAGACATATGTATCATATAGAACCTGCATTTCTAGTTACATGAATTGGTACTGTTGCAGTAGCGCAAGGTGTGCCGCACTTCTTGATTGTCTCCCTGCTGCTATCACTGCACATCGAACCAAGCTAGTCCAGCTGAAGATGCCCAGGTCTGGTTGGAGACTTCCAGAGGACCGCTGCCACAAGGACGCACACAAAGGCCATCATCTGCATACTGGACGACTCGCCACTAATCTTGGGCTATCTCCAGATGCAGTGGTGCCAATCATGACCATCGCAACAACAAGAAGACTCCGCAAAGCCGAATGCTCAGGCATGAGATCCAGAACCAAATTTAAGAAGATGTGAAGGAGTGGAGCTTCGTTAAAGACAACGCTGAGGAACAGGACGAATGCCACACTTCTGGCCAATATCTTGCTATCTACAATGATGAGTGGTACCATTAGCAAGAGCAATGACACCGCCTCAGCGAAACTCCGTCCAACATCACACAGGCAGTAGTAACACCCGGTGGCAGCATGAACAACCATAAATTGATCAACAACGGCATCAACAACAACAGCAGCAGCAGCCGCAACACCAACAACGACAACACGATGACCGGCAGAATCAACACAAAGACCTCTAGGCTTTGACTGTAGGTAGGGATCCCACCCGAAAGCTCGCCAACCAACACTTCACAAACTGCACTCCCACAAAAAACCTCCAACCTGCAAATCACGGATGATCATGTTGACCAGTCAAACAGGCATACATGCCGAACAAGCATGTCCACCTTTGCAGAATTTACACTGAACCTCATGGATCCGAGTCGCACCTCCTCGACAAGGATTCAGGACTTCGGAAGTTGGAGTTTTTGAGTTTGGGGTTCTGTATGTACGGGGTTGCATGATCCGGGCTCGAGTCTTCTGTGCTTGTGGGTTTGGTGTTTACCCTGAACGGCCCTCAACTCTGAATGGGTGCTGGAACCCTGGAAAGCTCCACGCCAATCGCGAATTTCCGTCACCATGCAGCGATACCACGCAAGAAAACAATTTTTCGGTCCAACGCTCTCCTTCCAGCAATCCTGGAACCTGTGCAACCTCCCCTCCATACCATGCCTTGCACTCTTTGCCCTTGACCCAATACCCAGTGTCCAAAGCCGAAAGCCTCAAGCCCGGAACTGGGATCGCCCCTGCCTGTGTAGGGACTATCAGAGCACAAGTGCGCAGTCAAACAAGACCTTCGATGCGGCCAAGACATGCAGAAGCCGCCGCAGAAACTCGTGAACATGAGAATCTCTGCTCGGTCTCGCTTTTCTTTTCCGACACCTTTAGACCTTTAGACAATTGCCCCAGCCAGGCCCCAACATTGACACTGCATCTCCATGCACCCACGATTCTCTCACGACCGTCTCGAATGTCCAGGACAACGGGCAAAAAGCCATCCGTTTAGAGTTCGGTTTCGGCACCAGTCACTATGTCTGGTGGCAAAACAGGGACCCTTAATACTTAGTTAGGATAGGTTTGGGGGTATATTAAGACATGACTATAGCAGGGACGGAAAGGATCACCCAACCAGCCGCAGGCCCAAGAAATTCCTAAACACTGAAACCCAATATTCAACCCCACAAGCCCTAAATTCGCCTCGGCTGGGCCGAAGCATTCAGAGGTCCCGACACGGATTCCCTGTTTCCCCACCCCTTAAAAATTGGGTTTCGGGTTGGGAAGGGGCTTGCCGGGAGCACCCCCCCATATTTGGGGGTTGTTCCCCACCACCCCCGGCCCCCGCGCTTCCCTCGTCTCTTCCTTGCGACGAGACAAGAGGGGCTAGCATGCATCATGCGTGAAGCTGATGCCAAAGCCTGGGAACTCTGGGGCTGTGCTTTGTACTTCGTTGCAAAGCTTGCTTCCCCTTCCCACATTTGGGAAGTTGTATACGAGACCAGTGATGATACGGTGATTATGGTAACGTCAATGGGATAATACTGGGAATGTGCCACCTCTCGTGTGGGATTATTGCTCAGAGTACGGATATAAGCCGCATTCTGAAGCAGATGCGCTCATTCACCCAAGACCTCACCTGTTTGACCTACCTGTTGCTTTCCGGAACAATGCACCAGCTTCAAGCACCGTCGGGCCGAGGCGGACGACGCGAAGCGTTTAAAATTACTAAACCGTAAACCTGCACCACAGCTAGTAAGGGTCCCTTATGGTCCCTGGATGGGTTTAGTATACTGATTATAACATTCTTATATGACGCCCAGCCGCTTGGAGGCCGTCGAGATGTGGCCGGTCTGCATGTCCAGGATGAAGCTCTGCACCATCTTGTCCTGTCGCAGAACAGCTAACCACTGAAGTGCTAATATTGTAATATTGATGACGATGATGGTCTTGATAATAATCGCCACTCACTAACTAGTCATAGCAATACTTCGAGGCCGGGATGTATCAAGTACAAGATATGCTGGTGAGAGTGTTGGGTCGTTAACCGGGAACCATAGAATCGTGGCGATAATGGTCATGGTGCGGAGGCCTGATACTGCTCTTTAGAGACTAGCCTCTCAACAACTGGGCCAACTACGCACCCCGAAACCAGCTGACCCCATTACCCCATGCAGAGTCCACGCTTGGGGGCCCAGCTTAAACAGTTTAAAGCCGTCCCGAACGGCCCAGGCTCATGCTCACAAGGTTTCTACTCTCACACTCGCACGAGGCAGGCAAGGCTCCACACGATCCGACACTGACGACGCAGTACGCAGCAGCACAGCAGTGGCTCCCACTTCACAACCGACAACCAAGCAACCAAATCTAACCACACCAAGAACCCACCGAACTCTATCTCGAAGCCGTTTGACCCAAGTTCCGCGCTCGGATCCCAGAACAAGATCTCGTAACCCGGGTTGAAGCCCGTAATTACCCAAACTTTAATTCGGCTGCAGCAGGAACGAATGGCAAGCCAGCTTCTTGAGGCTGATGACGACAGAAGTGCAGATCGGAGCCGATTCCCAGCACTTTTTCACAGCCTCCGTCTGACTAGCAGTCGGCGTCTCCACCATTTGGGAGTTTGGGGTCCTGATAATAAGGATACTATACTATTTAGGGTACTATATTAGGGTCGGAAACACCCATTTGTGCCGACCAGATGACCGCTCTGGCCGCGGTCCACTTAATCCAATTGGCCTGGCGCAGGCGCATGTCCGAGAGAAGCAAATCCTTCAAGTCGACACGCAGAGCTCTGCGAAGATCTCCACGGCCTGGTTCCAGGAAAAGTTTCACACGTCGACATCGCTCTCGACTTCACCTGCCAGCGCCAGCTGGCGGCCCAAGCGCTCAACCAGCACTTTCGGCTTGCCACAAGCCTTGCTGACATGAAGTGATTCCCGTGCCACACCGCTTGGACCCGCTAGGGCGGCGAGCTGCCCTGCTTCGGCAGAAGATGCCAAAACCTCTCGAGGCTTGCCAGTCACAACGAGCATGTGGCCCATGAGCAGCGCCGATCTCGGCCAGCCCACGCGTCAGCAGCACCGGGGCCTGCCTAGATTTCCTGGTGCAACCAGGTGGTGCAGGCAGGCCCCGGAAAGCGACAGCCCCGGCTGCGATGGACTTGAGATTGATTTGCGCTGAGATTCCTTCAGTCGCTAAGCGCTGAGCTAAGGCAATGAATCTTGCCGGTTCTGGACATGCATCCCACGTGCTGGCAACGCATTGAGATCATGCGAAACCGGACGTAGGTTTAGGGTTTCGGCGCTCACACTCGGACACTCCAAGTTTCATAGCCTGCCACATGTGACCCCTCAATCGGCACACGTCTGTCTGTTTCTCAACCCTAAACGACCACATGGCACCTGGCAGGAACTCTGGACGACCTTTGCATCCTCCACCGCGCCCTGGGCAAGAACTCCCGGCATCGGACGTTAAGTGATGCGAGTTTTGCCACCAACCCGAAACACTCAACCAGATGGCTTCGACCGAAATTCCAAAATCGAAACCACTCTCACGTTCCAGCAAGGTCCACGTGCCCCCAATCAAAATCGTGGCCCAAGCTCCGAGCGCCGAACCCACAGTCCCTAACTCCCTCAACCTTGCAATCCATGGCGCCCTCATGTAGGGCCCTGAATAATTTGAATAAGGTTTTGGGCCCCACTATGCTATAATTATAGTAAGGAACCCCCAAAATAGTATTGGTAGTTATTTAGGCTCCTACATTGTAGGATCCTTCTAGAACCTTTACGGCACCTTTGTGGTACACTCCTATTCATGACCAGGGGCAGCATAGGCCAAGCAGCTGCCACCAAACGCTGCCTGGCGATCGCAGCTTAGAGTTGCCGGGTGGATCTCTACACGGGGGTTCCGAAAATTAGGGGACCCCAATATAGTACCCTAATTAATAGGATCCCTATTATAAGGACCCCAAAATAAGGTACCCTAATTTTCTGAAACTCCCACACCGGCTTTAAGGCTTTCAGTCTTTCTGCCAGGTGGTTTAGGGAGTAGGGGTTTGGGGGTTTAGCAGAGAGAATGTTAGTTGGCTTAGGGGTTTGGGGGTAGGGTACATGCACATCGCCCTCAACCAGGACGAGGGTTCACGACCGAGCTGAGGTCAAACATTCTACATCCCAGTGGACTTGCATTGTCATGACTTCCCCACACCTACCAGACAAAAGGCATAGAAACCTGGCTCGTTGTATCTAGGGCTGCGGAGCCTCATGAAGATTTCGTGGCTTGAGACACAGATCACAGAGTTCTAGAGGATGAACGGGGCTCATGGTTAAAACACACAATATATCATATATCACACATATGGTATAGTCCATAATACATAGTACACACTATCTGATATATGCTAGTTTTCAAGCGTTTATCGACACGTGATCCACCAGCTCAGACCAGCTCCTGGCCTGTATTCGAGCCCTCGGAGGTATGGAAGGCAACCTTGTCTCGGGGTTTCTGTTTTAGGGTGGGTTTAGGGTTTAGGGTTTAGGTTTAGGGTTTAGGGTTTTGGTTTACGGTTTAGGGAGGTTGAGGCAGGGTACATTCATGCCTCCATACATAGTGCATACACATACACATACAGATATACTTGCCGGTGCCCTTAATTCATGCAAGATAACTTCGAAAAAGCTAAACCTGCGCACGTGTATCATAAATAAGTGTATTCATGTATATCCATGTATGTATGTACGTATGTATGTGTATATATATATATATATGTATATATACACACACACACACACATATATATATATATATATTAACTTATAGGTCACGTTGCTAACATACAGATATATGTGTCGGTAAAGTATACATGTAAATACAGATATACATACAAACATAGTATCAGGAACAGATACATGATAATCATATGTCTGTATATAAACATGTATATGTATATACCTACACATGTGTGTATGGAACGCCTGCATACCTACATACATACATACATACATACATACATACATACATACGTACATACATGCATACATACATACATACATACATGCATGCATAACTCTATAATATAATCGAACGTGTTTACAACAAAAACACACGTTCGCCAGGGTGTGGGTTTCGGGGTTCAGGATTTGGTTGGGGAGCGTGCGGAGGAGCAGATCTCGACCGACCACCTGTACACATCAAATCGCAGAGCCCTAAGCCCTAAACCCTGAAGCTTGGAACCCTGTTGCTTCATGTTGCTTCAGGGCATGAGCTCTTGCAACGAAGTCACTCCGTTTCCGGGATGTATATGTCGACCTCAGCCGCTGGCTTAGCGTAGCACATACCAGGAACATTAAGTCGGAGCTGGCACGAAAGTCAGAGAAAAAGTTTGGCATGCCTCTTCCATGCTGAACGTCTGCATCCAAACAAACCCAACCTCTGGTTTTTCCTCTCTTCCCCAGTTCAGCAAGGGCTGATCCCGATGCACTGTGCACAGAAAGATGGAGGGATGCTGGACCCATTACGAGCCTACGAAACCGAAACCACTGTCTGCCGGAGAAAGGGGCAGAGGCACTGAGGTTCATCAACCTGGTGAGCCAGGAAGATTCCGACAGTGCCGAGCTTTGTCTGGCAAGGAGTTGGTTGCTTGCCCTTCAAGGCGAGGGAAGATTAGATGGCAGTGATTGCCGGTTTGGCTTGGGATTGGATTTTGAAGCTAAGACTGCCATCCTGAATCAATCTGAGACAAGAGATCCACTCAACACCGTCGAACTCTGTCTCTTTCCCTACAGTCCACAGCCTGTGGCCGATCAGCGTGATGGGATCTGCGTCTGTCGTCCAGCTGTTCGTTCGCGGCTGCAGGGCTGAAGAGCTTGGCTCAAGGGCGAGATCCGTCGTTGGACAGACAGAGTTGTGTAGACACGTGGTAGACTTTACTTTTGGCAAATCGGCGGGCGTGTGCCTGTCGACAGCCCTACTGGAGCAGATGTGAACACTGGCATGCTGGAAAGGACAGGAGGAGAACGAAGTTCTTGCGAAAGATCGTCTGCAGGAGAATCGGAAACCCCTACCTCCCCTGCAAGCATCATCCTAACCAAGAAACTGTACACCGCCAAAGCCAAAGCATGCCGGCATGGTGAGGAAAACAGATTGAACCTCGTGAGCTGCAGTGGATTCAGTATATATGGCAGATCCACATCTCACAATCCACAAACATGCCGAGGCTTTGCGGATTGCATGAGGAGCCACAACGGAAGTACATGGGATGAGATGACGTCTTCGAACTTCTATGCTCGCTCCCGGCGCCACCTGTTGCGCCACGTTTTGCCTCAAAACCAAGTTCGGTGCGTGGCTGGGATCCTGAGTCTGTTTGCAAATGGGACTTGTGCTGCCGGCTAGCCTGGACCCTGCCAACAATTCTACTCTACAGCAGATCACACCTTGTAACAGCTCACCTTACATGCCGTCCCCATCGATGGCGGATCTTGGAGGGAAAATCCAACACCATCATGATGCTTATCTTGGCCGTCCGGACCATCATCACCATGTGATTGGAGTTTGTACTGCTACTACTACGGACGACGACCACTACTGACAATACTGACAACAGCAAATTATTACGATGACTCGGACGACGACGACGACGACGACGACGACGACAACTACTACTGTCGCTACTGCAACGGCTACCAGTACTACACGTTACCACTACCAATATTTGTACTACAACAACAACTACCAGTACTACTACTACTACTACTACTACTACTACTACTACTACTAGTACTACTACTACTACTACTACTACTACTAGTACTGCTACTAGTATGACCTACTACCACTACTACTACTACTACTACTACTACTACTA